GGGGGGGGGGGGGGGGGGGGCAGGGCCAGGCCAAGTTAGGGCTGGGGGCCTCTGGTTTCTCTCCGCAAAGACTGTGTCCAGTGTGCTCCAGGCTCCAGCTGAGGGCCCCACCCCAGCTTCTGGGGTGAATGAGACGAGAGAAGGTGAGGTGGCGCAGGCATGGGCAGCTGCTGGCCCAGTTGGGCCAGACCACATCTTCAGGGATCCCCCACAACCCCTGCAACTGCAGCTGAAGCAGATGTCCCTCGGTCCTATCTGTCCCACCCTTTCTGGCAAAGGGATCCCCGGTTACCTCTGCGGCCCAGGTCCCCCTGTTGCCTGGCCTGTTATTACTGGCCTTCACCTGGGGGACCCTGGCTATCATTTGGACACCTGTCTTCCCCACAACCTGACAGCACCCTGAAAGCCCCAAGCTGAAGGGAAGCAGGAGGAAGGAAAGGGTAGCTTGTCCACAGACTGTGTTCACCCCAGGGTACACAGGGCAGGGTGCTGTCTAGATACCAGGACAGAGAGGCTCCTGAAAAAAAGGGTGGGTCTAGGCTCCACAACCAGTGGAGAAATGCCCTGGGCGGATGAGGGGCTCCAGCCTGTGTGTGCACCCATGCTCTGACCCACGGCAGCACCAGCTGCCCCCATGGGGCTGACCACACACCAGGCTGGGTGGCTGCACTCACTTGCCCTGGTCTGGGGTCCGCTGCAGCATGGAGGACACCTTCAGCAGGGTGCTGTGGTCCCGGAGCTGGGCCAGCACCTTGAGCAGCAGCACAATGGAGCGGTTCATGTGCCAGGCAAAGCTGCCCGGCCGGTCGATCTCGTCCACGGGGATCCGCCAGATGCCCTGTGAAATGGACAGAGGCGGGCGTGTGAGGTGGGCTGCTGCACCTGGAGCCTGCCATGATACCACAGGGGACTCTGCCCAATCCAGGGTGCCTCGGACCCCTCTTGCTATCCCAAGGGAAGTGGGAGCGTGGTCACCCCCATCTACTTCCCTCCACGGATGGTGGCAAAGAATACACGCATTATTCTGCACTCTCCTCTTCTGAATGGCTGCAAGGTATGTGTTTACTTGTTCTGTTCCCTACGGGAAGCACACAGGCTGTGTCCCCTCAGTTAAATGCAACCAGTGGGAGAAGTCTAGTGCCTCTGCGCCTCTGCACAGGTGCTGACTCAGCCATGAGACCAATTCCTAGAGCTGAACTGATGGGTCAAAAGGTGGCCAACGTGAACTTCTGGCAGCTGCTGCTGGCCAGGCACGCTCAAGCCTGGGCCCCACCCGTGTGCATTCCCTCCAGCGGCACCCAGAGAATGGAGGGCTGGGCTGAAAATGACCTGCAGCTTGCTGGATGCCCAGGTTTCCTTGAACCCGCCTTTGTGCAGTGTATGCTGTGGCCAGGACCCCCTCCTCCACTTCTCAGCCATCCAACCTCACTGTCTGAAGGCTGCGCTGGAGCAGGGCCAGCTCTAAGGATACCCGCCACGGTCTCCCTCAGCCCGTGCTTAGCCCACCCCTGCACCTGGCACCCTGCTCATCGGCAGCTCCATGTCTGGTTCCCTGTGGCATCCCCACACCCAGCATGGTATCTGAGACACACTCGGGTCCAGTCCAGGTGTAGTGAAGGAAAGGATGACCAAGGGAGTGAATTATAAGTGAACAGAAGCTCATACCTTCTGAGCAGGCCTGAGGCTGCAGGACCTGGACATTAGGATTTATGTCTCTGGGGCAGGACTTTGGGGACCTGGAAGGAGCAGGCAGGCTCACATGTGGCTTCCTGAAGCCAACACCCTAGAGAAATTCCTGCCCAGAAATTCCTGCCCAGACCAGGGCTGTGGGCAATGCTGCCTCCTGCACCCGGGGCCCACAGAAGGGTACCCAGGGAGTGCCCTTCCCAGGGCTCTATTCCCGTGGGTGCTCAGTGACTAACTCCCGGCTCCAGCAGTCCCGGGAAGAAAACCAGGGCACCTCCAGCCCTGAGCCACTTAAGCAAGAGAGGAGCCTAAAACCTGCAACTCCAAGCCCCCAGCGCCTCCACACTGGGTCACTGGGCTCACACCGGGCGCAGAGAACTGCTCCCCCCACCCCCTGAGCAGGCCGGGGCACTGTGTGAAGGCTGGCAACTACTCTTTATCCCAGGCAGTACCAAATAAGGCACCAGCTGCCTCCCGGCCTAGACAAAACCAGGAGGCTGTGAGACAAAACCCACATCTAGGGCACTGATACCAACGCTGTATCTTCCCACTGGGCACAGGTGGCTTCTGCAGCAGCTCAGGAAAAGCTGCCACTTGAGAGGACGAGGGGCAGCTTTGGACAGCTGTCTGGCCAGTGTGTCCCTGACACTGTACCCCAGATGTGTGGCAGGGGCTGGGAGGTACCCTCTCTGTTGTCCACCAGACCCACCAGGCTGAAGAAGAGCTTGGTTCTTTCTCCCGAGGCACTGCAGACGTCACCATGCTCTGCATCATAGGCTGACACAGCTATGTCATCATGACATCGTGACATCTCTATGTCACAGAGATGAGGAGCAACTCCCTCAGGGTCACACAGCATGAGAGGCAGTCCCACAGTTGGCCCCTCACCACCACCACAGCTCTGAGCACAGGCTGGACCAGCCAACCAGCTCAGAAGGAAGCCTCCATCACCTGCTCTGGCCCTCCACCCCTGGCCCCCAGCTCCTTCCTGCACCTAACAGGAGAGGGGGAGAGTTGGAAGCACAGTCCCACCACATGCCATGACATTGCAGGTGTGCACCAGAGCCGGCCCAGGGTCAAGCCAGAGATCTGGGTGTGACCCCACTGCTCTCGGATCTCACTCTTCCTTAGGTCACAAGAGGGGCATGCTCTGCTCTGCACCCTCAACCCACAAGGGTCCAGGATGACCCTGGATTTCACTGAATGCCTCCCTCTTCCCTGGCAAAACCTTTGAAGACTCAAAGAACAATCAGCGGTCACTCCTCCCAGTGCACCTTGATCCGGGCTCAGAAGGTTTCTCCCAGCTGCCTGATGAGCAGCTAAGGGTGGAAGGTCCCCTGCTCTCCTTGGGGGAGCCACTGGGGAGGATGAATGGAAGACTCACACTTCTTCCTTCAAATCGTGTTTGGGGGTGGCTGTGTGAGGACAGAGGTGCTGACTTTTCTGGCCCCTCCCCTGGGAAAGTGGCCCTGTTCCTCCCATGTCACCTCTGCCAGGGACTCGGGGTGAGCCTGGCTGTGAGGTGGGCAGAAGCAAGTGTCACGGGGGCCTCAGACATGGCGCCAAAGCCTCAGGAGGCTCCAGGCACTTGGGGTGCTTGGGCCCCAATGCCTGGCCCCACAACACACCTGGTGGGCACCAGCTTCAGCCTGTACATCTCAGGAGCTTACCACCTCTGGAGGTGGCCCGTTTCATCCTTGGTAGATTGTTAGAAAAGGTTTCTTCACACTGTGCTGGATCCCCAGGCTGTCCCCGCACCCCTGCCCCTCCCTGGCACCCAAGCCTGCACCTTATGCCCCTAACATTCCTACTCCGGCTCGAGCCTCATCTTGCCTCTTCCTTCGACTCTTGCTCCCCATTCGTCCACCCGGCCTGGGCCAGGACAAGTTAAGAAAAGGATGGTGTGGCCGCATCCCTCACTGCTTATATCCTTGACAAGGCAGCTCCTTTATCTACCTCAGCGGAAACCTAAGCCTCACTGGCCTTTGCCCCATCCCTGGACTCGGGACACGCACCATGCCCCCTCATAGAGCCGTGAATTTTACCCTTCTCACTTTTTCAGGCGCCCTCTCACTTCCTCTGCCCAGCCAGTTTTCCTGTGTCCTCCCAAGCCTGGCTGTGAGGTCATCTCCTCTCTGAAGCCCTCCTGGCTTGCTGCCCTCCTAAGCCTCTGCCAGGACCACTTGGGGGCAGCCCCTCAGATGGTCAGGGGGTGGTGGGCCGGTGGCTAGGAATGTGTCCTAAGTGGGGGCAGGTGTGCTTCAGCTCCAGGTCCCCAGGGGCCCGACACAAAGCTGGCAGAGGCAAGGGACCCAGCTTGAGAAGGGCTTCCTGCTCACAGAGAAGCCCAGCTCACCCACCTCCCCACCAGGCCCTCACCCTGGAGATTTTCCAGGCTAAGTGGGAAACAATTCTGCTCCCAGGGAAATGAATGCCCTTCAGAGCTCTGGGTGTGCACATGAGCCCTGCACTGGGGGGTGGGGGTGGGGGTGGGGGGTGGCGGCACACCTCCTTGCAAAAGGCAACGATGGCGAGTCAGCAACACGCTCCCTGAGGGCTGGCAGGACTTTGGGCTGCTCAGGGGCATATCCCGCCAAGCTCCTGGTGGGGCAAGAGCTAGCTCTCCTCTCTCCCCTGAAAAAGAAGAGGCTGAGAAAGCGATGCCAGAGGTAAAACACATTTGGCCCTCTGCAGGGTGGACCAGGTGGCCACAGCAGACTTGGCAGAAGGTGGGGGGGTGTGGATAGGGCCCCTGCAGAGAGGGGATCCCAAATTCCCGCTCTTGCTCCCAAGTTCTGGAATCAAAGACACAGGGCATTTACCTGTTTGGTGTCTCTTTTGGAGAAGGGATGGGATGTGCCAAAACGGGCCAGTGAGCATGCTGAGGAAACCACTCTGGAGGGCCCACCAAGCCACCCCCTGAAGTGGGCCAGCCTGGGACTGTGAGGGGTAGGTAGCCTGGCACCGGTGGTAGCCACCAGCAAGCAGATGAAGGCGGGGGCTGAAGCAAGGCAATGCCTCAGATGAGACGCCTTCTGGATGCACAGCGATGGGGGGGGTCTGCCTACCACCCGCTCCCTGTCACGCCATGGCGCCACTGGCCTGCCTGTCTCACCCTCTGGGACCGCCCTCCCCACCCCTGCCGTTCCTCCTGCACCCGGTTCCTGATTCCCGGGATGCTGCTTCCAGCCGGCACTGACGAGTCCAGTGGCATCTGAGTTATACAATCATGGACATTTTAAAGCACACTCAGCTGGCTGAAACTGCTTATTGTGGAGGTGGGAACCGGAGGCCCACTGAGGGGCAGCGAGCGCCCAGCCACGCTGCTGGATGGTAGCCAAGCCCGGAGTGCACGTGGATTCCCTCCTCACGTCTGGGGCCAGTGGGCCACTTTCCACCGGAGCCACTCTGCACCAGCTAGGCACATCTGTGGGGATCACTCTGGGAGGAGACGAGGGTTCCTATGCTCAGGAGCCAGACTCCCAAACAGCTTTCAGCCAATCCCTGAGGACGGACAGAGGGACAGGGCTCTGGACGCACCCCCTGAGGATAGGTCTACTTTGTACCACACGTTTCAGAGCATGGTTTGGATCCTTTTACATGAGGGTTCTCTGTTAACCCATTCCTTTCCAGATATGCGCACGCAGCCGTAACATACCACCAGCTATTTCGGAAAGGAAGACCAAACACATCAGGCAGAGTCCACGGAAAATCAGGAGGGAACTACAGGCACCATAAGCCCTGGGGAGGTTCCTGCAGACATGCAGCTAGCCTCCAGGGACAGCTGGCCCGAGGGCGTGGAACCACCAGGCAGAGTCTTAAGCTGGCAGGGTGGCAAGCAAGCCAAGGCTCTGCCTTCTGCCTGAGCAGGCAGCGCTGGGCTTCTGTGTTTGCAGCCAGAGCCCCCACGATACCAGCAGCCCCAAGACAAGTGGAACACTTCCCGCCCTGCTACAGAGGGGAAGAAGACAAAGCACACCCCCATGTACTGCCCCTCAGGGAACGACAGCCTTGCCAGGCTGTGCCTAGGGAGGGCTATGAAGCCCCTAAGAAAACCGGGGAGATCCCAGGGAGGGGAATGCACTGGGAAAGGGATGTCTGCACACTGGTGGAAGGGGCACAGTCAGGCTCCACCTGCAGCAGCAGAGGCCA